ATATTAAATTAAGTTTACTAATTTCTGCTTCTGGATGGCTTACAATTAAGATGACTAACTGCATCAGTTTGCCTGCAAATGAAGAGTTTCCTAGGAAGGAGACCTACAGTGCTAAACTGGAACAGCTCGGCAAACTGGGACACGTGGTCACACTCGAGTAAATTTATGGCCAAGCAGTGTTCCCTCTGAGAACAAAAAAAACACTAGATAAAATACAAAAACCATATACGAAGACAAAGGAGATCTGCTAAGGCAAGAAGAAATAGAAGGACTAAGACTCCAGAGGGGAGAATATTAAGAAAAGTGAGCTAGTATTTGCAGCCAACTTTACCCTACAGCCATCTGCCAACTCTAACAAAGAAAGGAGGCTGAGATTCCAGGCTGCTATGGCAGAGCTTTTGATGGAGACCTAGAACCTTTAATCAGAAGGTCAGTTTTTCCTTCAGAGCATTTATAGAATTCTGGTCCCTATGTGGAAAAGACTCTGAAAAGTTAAGCATTCTTATGTGTCCAAATCTTAGCATTCAGTACATACAGGAAGAGGAGCTACTAAAAAACATATCAAGATCCCAGTAAAAACACCTGGAAGGCAAACAACAGGTGAACTGAATCTCTTCCAAACTACAACTCAGCCATGGATTAGCATAGGCACTGATTAGATTAAGGTGATCGCCATCACTCTGTCAACATGGTGCAGGAGAGAATGACCTCTTTGTGGAGAATAACTTTTTAGTTTAAACTAAATATCCAGCATTTGAACAAATGTATCAGGCATGCCAAAAACCAAGACTACATGAATAAAAACCAAGAGAAAAAACAAAGAGAACAAGAGGAAAAAAATTCAGATAACCTAAATATTGGAATTCACTGACAATTACCTTATAATATAATTAATATGTTGGGGCACCTGGATGGCTCAGTCAGTTAAGCATCTGACTCCAGCTTAGGTCATGATCTTACAGTTTGCAACTTCAAGTCTCGCATCAGGTTCACTGCTCAGTGAGGAGTCCGCTTGGGATCCTGTGTTCCCTTGCTCTCTGCTCCCCTCTCTCACTGGTTCTCTCTCAGAATAAAATAAACAAACTTAAAAAATATATACACACATACACACACATATACATACATAATATGTCCAAGACAACAGAGGAAAGAATGAATAAAAAATATGAAAAATTTCAACAGATGAACCAAACATATTTAAGGGGGAAAAAGATCTGTAATATAGAACTCATCAGAGGTGTTTGTGAGCAGAGGAACTAGAAAAGAGAAAATTAGTAAACTTGAAGTGAACAGAAATATCCAAACTAAAGGACAGAAAAAAATTAATGTAAAAAACACAGGAGTGTAAGAGATACAAGTGGCATAGCCAGAAGTCTAATAAGATATAATTGGAATCCCAGAAGTGGAAAAAGAAAATGGACAGAACAATATTAGAAAAGATAATGACTAAGAATCTTCTGAAACTGATGAAAGATACCATGTATTTTCAGAAAATTCAGGAACATCAAGCTATAAAATAAAAAGGAAAGCAAATGAACAAACAAAACAAACCTAGGGAAATTAATCATAACATTGCTGAAAAACAGAAAGGAAAACCTTTGCTAACAGAAAAACAGCAACAACAAAATAAAAACATATTGCTTTAAGTCTTTTGAATTTCAAAAAAAAAAAAAAAGATGGAAGCCTGAAAATACGGAATAACATTTTTAAAGTGCCAAAACAGCTAATTTAGAATTCTATACCTAAAGAAATGTTTCAAATTTAAAGTTCAAATTTTTTTCAGACAAAAACAAAGAATTCATTATTAAGAAATAGACACTAAAGAAAATATTAAAGGGAGTTTTTCAGGGATTTCTCATATTCTAGATTCTCTACATCTTCTCTAAGTCTGAGGGATGGGTGGCATATAAATACAAGACACAGAAGACAAACCAATGAATTTCTCCTAGATTATGTCTCCTAGACATTATCTTCATTATGTCTTGCTTCTGGCTTACTTCAATCTCTAACTCTCATAAAAATGTTGGAATTATAATTGTTACCAAGACAGTAAAATTTCTACCTATAACAAAAAAACCTCCCAGAAGAGGTGCCAAACCCACATGGACACTATCCCCTGCCTCTACTCACTCGTACCTCTACCAATAACCCTCATTCCACCCTACTCCCCAGGTTGCGCACACAGCACACACGCGCACACACACTTCTTTTGGTCTTTATTTTCCTACAGGTAGCAGTATCATGGGATGTAATGATGGGGCAAAAACCTCTAAGCTTCTTCAAACACACAATTAGAAACCTATCTTGCCTGGGGCGCCAGGGTGGCTTAGTCGGTTAAGCGTCCGACTTTCGCTTAGGTCTTGATCTCGTGGTTCGTGGGTTCGAGTCCCGCATCGGGCTCTGTGCTGACTGCCAGCTCAGAGCCTGGAGCCTGTTTCAGAGTCTGTGTCTCCCTCTCTCTCTGACCCTCCCCTGCTCACGCTGTCTCTCTCTCTCTCCTAGAAATAAATAAAAATATTAAAAAAAAAAAAAAGAATCCTATCTTGCCCCTCAATTGAAGAAGCTTAATCTTAGCCCACTCTCCTAAAAGTTTTCATACTTAGAAGTTGGGTGAGGTAGAAAAATTGCATATAGAAGCCTAATATAGAGAATATAAGTCCAGATTATTTGAAAGGCTTTTCAGGAAGTGGTAGTGGGCCCACCTGCAATATTATGCCCATCTGTCATTCTATAAGAAACAGAAAAGATAAGAAAATCTCCTTATTTTAAAATATGGAATGTTTCACAAATTTGCATGTCACTCTTGAGTAGGGCCAAGCTAATCTCTGTATTATTCCTATTTTGGTATATGTGCTGCCAAAGCAAGCATAAGAGAAAACCTCACTTTTAAAAAATCTTAAATATTAACTCTGAATACATTAATTCTAGTTGTCCTGGATCCAATATTCCCTAATCTAGTTCTTAAAGTCAAGTCAGGTGAAAAATGAGATTTTGGTATTACATACGTTTACAGAACTCTTCAGCATGAATTATTATAGTTGCATGGTTTTTCAATCTACACATTCTTATGAAAAATCTTAATATTGATCTATAATTTATCCTCATATTTAACATAATTTTACGTTAAAAAGGTGTATTTATATTGCAAATAAGATGTTGAAATCTTGGCTCATTAATTCTTTAGAAGTATTAACTTATTAAATTTTATTTATGTTGAACTAAGAGTTCATGAGGCTTTATGTTCAAGACCAACTACACACACACACACACACACACACACACACACCACACACACAGACTTTCCCTTCTTCAACTCTGTTAAAATAATAAAATATAGGGGCGCCTGGGTGGCTTAGTCGGTTAAGCGTCCGACTTTCACTTAGGTCATGATCTCGCGGTTCGTGGGTTCGAGCCCCGCGTCGGGCTCTGTGCTGACAGCTCAGAGCCTGGAGCCTGTTTCAGAGTCTGTGTCTCCCTCTCTCTCTGACCCTCCCCTGCTCAAGCTGTCTCTCTCTCTCTCTCCTAGAAATAAATAAAACATTAAAAAAAAAATAATAATAATAATAAAATATAAAAAGGTATAAACCAAAATTGAAGAGATAAGATACAGACATTCAAGAGAATTCAGGAAACTTCTAGATGCAAAGAGTGTTGAAGAGCCAAAGCAGTTAGAGGTAACAATAAAAGATGCTGCAGCAGAAGCAACTGATCTGCGGTGGAAGAACTTGGCCCTCTCCTGAGTTCAAATAGCCATGTATGACGGAGGAAGAGAGTAAGGGCAATAACAAAATGATTAACTGGTGATCTAGATGTGGGAAAGTCTTTGAGAACTATAAAGTTTAATAACTGGAAAAAAAAACCTCAATGAATCAACAGTAGAATGGGGAAATAGAAGAAATAAGCAGTGAATTTGAAGACAGAACATAGAAATTATTCAATCTGAACAGAGAAAGCAGACATTCCTTCCTCCCCCAAGAAAAGGCCTCAGGAATTTATGGAACTTAAAAAAAAAAAACCAAAAAACAAAAAACACCTTACATTTATGTCATTAAATACCCAGAAGAGAAAAAAAGATGAAGCTAAAAAGTACTCAAAAAAGTAATGGCTGAGAATTTCCCAAATGTGGCAGAAAAACAGATTCCCAGAATGACCTCCAAATAGGATATATGCAAAGACATCCATGCCAAAGTACATTGTATCAAACTTCTAAAATATAACAAGAAAGAAAATTCTTAAAAGTAACCAAAGAAACAATGCATTAATTACAGGGTTGTTTTTTTTTTTTTTTCATCAAAGAGTATATAAGCCAAAAGGAAATGATAGACCATTTTTCAAGCACAAAAGAACAGTCAAACCAGAATTCTCTATCCAGTGAAAATATGCTTCAGGAATGATGAAGAAATCACATCCTAAGACATTCAAAGAGTGCCTGGGTGGCTCAGTCATTTAAGCTTCTAAGATAAACTTCAGCTCAGGTCAGGATCTTGTTGTTTGTGAGTTCAAGCCCCGTGTTGGGCTCTGTGTTGGCAGTGCAGAGCCTGGAGCCTGATTCAGATTTTGTAGATCCCTCTCTCTTTGTCCCTTTCCACTCATTCTCTCTCTCTCAAAAATAAATAAAACATTTTAAAAATGTAAAAAAAAGACAAAATTTGTCACCAACAGACCTACCCTAAAAGAATGACAGAAGGAAGTTCTCTAAACAGAAAGGAAATAATAGTGACATCTATAACACAATGATGAAGAAATCAAAGATGTAAATAAACAGACATTCCATATCCATGGATTGGAACATTCAACATAGTAAAGATGCCAAGTCTCCACAAATTGATACACAGGTTTAATCCAATTCCTATCAAAATTCTGGCAAGATTTTTTTTTCTTGTAGATACAAATGAAATCATTCTAAAATTTATATGGAAAGGCAAACTAGAAGAGCCAAAAAAAATTTTTTTTTACCAGTTTTCAACAAGCATTCAAGTCTTAAATTCAGATAGCCATTTAAAAATATGGGACACTTCATGAACCCACATGTCATCATTGTGCAGGGGCCATGCTAATCTTCTCTGTATCGTTCCAAGTTTACTATGTGCTGCCAAAGCAAGCACGAGCCAAAATAATTCTGAACAAGAATCATGTGAGAGGAATCACTCTAGCTGATTTCAAGACTGATTATATGGCCACAGTAATAAAGACTATGTGTTATTGGTGGAAAGACTGAGACAAATTAATGGAATAGAGAACTCAGGATCAGCCCACACAAGAATGGCCAACAGATTTGTGACAAAAGTGCAAAGGAATAGAGAACATACAGTCTTTTCAAAATAATGGTGCCGAAATAACATCTACAGACAAAAAATTAAATCTTGACCTAAACCTCATACAAAAATTAACTCAAACTACATCAGAAATTAAATGTAAAACATAAACTATAAAACTTGCAAAAAAAATAACATAGAAGAAAATCTTCAGGACCGAGGTCTTGGTAAAGAGTCTTTCAACATTACAACAATACCATGAAAAGGCAGGGGTAATCCAATTAAGTCAGAATTCATCAAAAGTAGAAATTGTTTAGGTGCCTGGGTGGCTCAGTCAGTTTAGAATCCAACTCTTGATTTCAGCTCAGGTCATGATCTCACAGGTACAGGAGAAAGAGAATAAACCCAGCGCTGGGCTCTGCTGTGTTTATTCTGCAAAGAGCCTGCCTGGAATTCTCTCTCTACCCCTCTCTCTGCCCTTCCCCCATTCAGACTCTCTCAATATAAATGGATAAATATTAAAAAAAAACAAAAACAAAAAAATTGTTGATCTTTAAAAGACCCTGCTAAGAGGGTAAAAAGCAACAGAAAATATTGCACCACATTATCTGACAAATGACCCATACCTAGAATAAAAAATTCTCAGAATTCAACATTGAAAAAAAATCCAAGTAGAAAATAGTCAAAAGAAATGAAGAAACATTTTACCAAAGAAAAAAATAGATGAGAAATAAACATATGAAAATACGTGCAATATCATTAGGGAAATGGAAAAAACCATGAGACACACTTCCATCAGAACCTAAAATAAAAAATAACAATACCAAATGTTTATGAGAATGTGAAGAAACTGGATCTCTCATAAATGGATGAGAATATAAAATGGTACAGCCATTCTGGAAAACAGTTTAGCCATTTCTTTTTTAAAAATTAAACAAACTTAGCATTCAACCTAGCAATCACACTCCTGGGCATTTATCCCAGAGAAATGAAAACTTCTATCTGTATAAAAACTTGTACACATTGGTTCATAGCAGCTTTACTTTTAATAGCCAGAAACTGGAAATGATCAAAGTGCCCTACAATGGGTGAATAGCTGCACAAATTGAGGTACATAATTACCACAGACTAGGACTAAGTAATAAAAAGGAACTGATACATGCAGCAACTTGGAAGGATCTCAAGGAAGTTATGCTGAATAAAAAAAAATAAATACCCAAAAGTCATTGCCTGTATGATTCCATCAAGATGACAAAATCACAGAGATGAAGAAGAGATTAGTGATTACCATGGCTTAGGGATTGGAGGGGCGGGGTGTCCATAGGAGGCTAGGTGTAAGTATAAAAGGACAGGATGGAGGTGCCTGGGTGGCTCAGTTAGTTGAGCATCTGACTGTAGCTCAGGTCATGATCTCACATTCATGGATTCGACTCCCACCATCAGGCTCTCTGCCAAGAGCTCGGAGCCTGGAGTCTGCTTTGGATTCTGTGTCTGCTTCTCTCTCTGCCCCTCCTCTGCTTGCACTCTCTCTCAAAAAATAAAATAAAAAATTTAAAAAATTTTAATTAAAAAAAGGATAGCATGAACGAGAACTTTCTGGTAATGAGATAGTTCTGTATCTTAACTGTAGTTGTGGTTACACAAATCTACATATGATAAAATGGTACAGAATTATACCCACACTATGCTAATATCAAATTCCTGGTTTTGATTATCATACTTCAATATTTAAAATGTAACCATTGGCAAAAAACTAGTATAAAGTACATGGGGACCTCTCTGTATGATCTTTGCAACTTCATACTGCAATCTATAATTATTTCAAAATAAAAAGTTAAAAATAACTATCAGATGATACACAAGAAACTTCTAAAGGATTCTTTAGAGGAAATGAAACACCTATCTATTAAATCTGTTTAAAGAAAATAAGTTTGCTGTTATTTTTTTCGGTTTAGAAAGAGAGAGGGTTTGAAAATAACTTACTGATATTTTCAGTTGAGAAATGTCATTAATAGTGTAAAGTAAAAATTACCTTGCTTATGTGAAGACATTAAAAAGTTAAAATCAGTGTTAAAATGTACAGAGATTGATTGCACATTTTCTTTCTTTAAAAATGAAATTGATTCCACAGTTAATTGTAATTAAATCTAAATCCATATAAACTTAATTCTAAGACTCACAACTCTTCAAACTACTTTATATAATAAAATGCTAATTTTATTATGTAAAACATTTGCAATACCAATAAAGTGGAAGTAAAATGAGGCCACTTAAAGGGAATAAAACAATTCCTTAAAAAAAAAAAAAAGTTATACAGTCCTAGGTGTTAGAGATATTCCAATATCAGTAAAAAAATAGGCAAACACACACATTCTGCAGCTAGCCAATATTTTAATACACAATTTAGCTGATATGTAAAAAGTGCTTTCAGGATTTGTTACCACCTAAAATAATACATCATATAATTTTCAAAAATGGTTCTTTGACTTCTAACCTCTGCTCTTCTTTAGAATTACCTGTGAGAGGGGAAAAAATGAAGATTCTTATTATATCCAAGGCAAATAAAATGGAATTCCTCAAAAAAATGTTAAATCATCCTATGTGTATAATATGCAAGAGTCTGAATTTGTAATAAACAATTTGGAAGGTGATTACGGAATCTTTTGCCTTATAATGGTCCTAGACTTCTCTCAAAAAATGTAAAACATGCAATTCTCAAAACTGGATTTTAAAGTCACTTCTGAATGTCAATTTCTTCGAATGTAAGCCAAATGCACCCAAATTAATGGCTCCCAACTTGAGGTTAGTAGACAATTTAGTAATCCAGGGAGTTAAAGAATGTTCCAAAAGTCAAAAATCCTATTATAAATCATGCATTTAACAACTATAAAGCAATACAAATCCACTGCAACACCAAATTTCTTATATTTGAGCTGGAATTATATCAATTTAGAGACTAAGACTACTCATCTTATGCTAAAACGCTCATTAGACAATTTTCAAAACATATAGTCCATGAAAAAATAAAATTAGATCTTTAGCTGTAAAAGACAGGAAGCATTAAACCAGAATATATCCAAAAAAACTTTTAAAGGACTTACCTACTTACAGGTAAGTACACCTTTAATTAATAAAAACAAACTATAAATTTAAAATGTACACATACATTTTTCTAGCCCTTAAAGCCTTGCTTTTCACCTGTATAAAAATACTTATATTGACTTTAATAGTCTAGAAGTGTATTGGAATATAAGATAATCGAAAGCCCATAAAAAATATCAGGCTGTGCAAATTTTTAAGCTTCCACAGAGGCCACCAAGTAGGTCTATATCCCAAGCCAGTAACTTCTTTGGTTCTGTTAGCACCACAAAAGAAAGTACGATATACTCAAAATGCTGAGTATATTATATACTCAAATCTTTAAAATACTAAGTTAAACAGAGTTCAACAAGTTTCTTGTTGTATCTCATAAGCTTTTATAACTTATATAACTACAGTTACATAAAGATGATAGCACTGTGGGAAACTGGATAAAAGGTACATGGGAACTCTATTATTTTTGTACCTTTGGTGAGTCTATAATAATTTCAAAATAAAAGGAACATTAAACAAGTCTACCAAGAGGTAGACTGTCAAAAATTAAGTCTTTCTCCCACATCCCTCAGTCAACCGTGGTTGCTAATTTCTTGCATACTATTATAGAAACAAGTTGTGTATATAATATTGTGACTACTCAAAAAGATATAGTATGTCATCTAAATTTATTTGACCCCCAAAGCATTTTTTATGATGGGGCAACTACTAACATCAAATGAAAATAATGATCTTGGGAATATATTTGGGGAAAAAAACCACCCTAGGCATCATACGTTTACATTACATAGAAATACCAATAAGAAGCAATCCTCTCTGTTTATATTGGTGATTTGATTCATAAGTCATTTGAATCCCAAAGTTAGAAAACCAAATAATTACAAAAATTTTAAATAATCATGAAGTTTTCATAAATTGCAAGGTGATAAACCTTCTCAACTATATATAGCCTACTATAAATCACACAGATTAGCAGCCAAACATTCATTTTTCCCTAAAAATGATAAAGCGGTGGCCATGAATCTTTCAATCAGAAATGCACAATATAAACATATAGAAAAAGAAAATCTAACTCCATAATTAAAACCTATTAACATAAAAAGCGCCCCTCCACTGGAGGCGGCTGCCTAGGCTACCGTGTACCTAGGCCAATGTTGCACCGCTAGAGGAGCAACTGATAACCGGTTGGATTCTGGGCCTGGTTCATGCCAACTCTTGTTAACTCTACTGGGATCCCAGCATAATTGGAGGGAAAAAAAAAAAAAAAAGCCAAGCATCAATTCAGTCAACAAAGCTGAATAAGGAAATCAAATCCACTAGAAGGGATACACTAGAGGATATTTTTTAAGTTAATTCTTGCACAAGTAAAGCAAGTCAGAGTTTACCTTTGCTGCAGCCTGTACATGCTCCTTTTTAATGACTCCACACTTACTCTCAAAAGCATTCATCCTGGACTCTTCTGCTAAACGATGAACAAACAGTAAACAATTCAGGTGCACCTATAAAGAGAAAATTCAAAAGGGTTTTTAAACGCAGACACTGATACTCTGAAATAATAGTTTTTAAAAATAAGATTCCAAAATTTAATGTCATAATATTTACTAGTATTAAGTCAATTCATTTGTATTTAAAGTAACACAGAATTCAATTTAAGTCCAACTTAAAGTCAATACAAAAAAGACTGTTATTGCAATACATGAAACAAGGCTATATATAAGCCTGACCAAAAGCCAGAGACCTTTATTGTAAAGCATAATTACAAAGTTTATGTATGATTCTATTAAGTAGCAAATATTCTTTCTTCTAATTCCAAATAAATTTAAATTGAAATGGAATTTCCCAAAAATTTAAAATCAAAAGTATCAAACAACTATATTTAAACCTAATCATCTCTCATTCTATAATCCAAGGGCTTAAGATATTTTAATCAGATATTTAATTCGAAATATCTATTCAAAAACATGTTAGGGGTACCTGGGTGGCTCAGTTGGTTAAGAGTCCAACTCTTGATTTCAGCTTAGTTCATGATCTCAGGGATTCGTGAATTCGAGCCCCACATCCAGCTCTATGCTGACAGCGTGGAACCTGCGTGGGATTCTGTCTCCCTCTCTTTCTGCCCCTCCCCTGCTTGCTCTCTACTTCTCTCTCAAAAACAAACATTTTTTAAAATGTTAATAATTGAAATATTAAAAGTTTACTGAAAAGTGTGTATATATATATACACACACACACAGGTCAAGTTACTTGTCATCCAACATATGAAAATAATTGTATCTCACTACTAATAATCTTTAAGGCTCTTTAAAGAAATTAAAATAGATAACATAATCAGATAAGTATTAATAAATATTAATCATTAGATACAATTAGATAATATCTTTAATATACTGGTCAGTTATATACTATTATAGGCTCTTTGCAGTATAATATGCATCTAATATTCACTAATCTTGTATACTGACACAACCACTCCCCCAGAGTTCACTAAACATTAAATAACTAGAAAATGTGGTGTTTTAAATTTAAATATTATACAGAAATCTTTAGAAGGTGGTTTTAGATGTTTAAGAATATTTTAGTGATATTTGGAAAAAATAGGAGTTTGGGAATTTGAATTTAATGAGATAAAGAATCTATGGAAGGAGTTATTCCTTTGGTACTTTTTTTGATGCACTGTCTTCTTTAAATCTCACAAGAACTCCAGGCTAAAGCACCCAATTATGATTCTTTACATAATGCATGTCATTCAATTCTTTTTTAAACTTCTAATGACATCCCATTTCCTTCTGCAGCAAAAACATTCCATAATATGGCACAATTTCCTGTTAATCTAGATTTCCTACTTCTAAAGATATAATAGCTTCCAGATATGTCCAGGATAAATTCCTTAATACTAAACCCCATTTGACTTGACTTCCAGTTTCATCTCTCACCATTCTCAGCTTACAGTTCTACAGTGTTTTGAACTTCTTTTGTATTCAAATATAGCCTTGCCTACAGGCATCCTACTAGTTTGTAGACTTCTCTGAAAAGTCCAACTATCCCCAATATGTAAGGTTATGCACCCTGAAATTCTTAACCACTGCACACACTACATAAATTATGCAGCAATTTCTCACCTGTCTTCCTCAAAGTACTATACAAGGGTAAGAATTATGTCTAATTTCTCCAACATTGTATCCTCACTGATCTTTAGCAATTTATACACACACACATACATATACACTCATAAAGTAGTCAACAATTATTGCATGGAAAAAATATCCCTCTCTCTCTCCACAAATTAGGCAAAAAAAAATTTTTAGTCAACCCCAAATGAATCACACTATGTTTTAGAGAACTGATGGGTGTCAGAGGGGAGAGGAATGGGGGGGGATTGGAAAATGGGTGAAGAGGTATAGGAGATACAGGCTTCCAGTTATGGAATGAATAAACCACTGGAATGAACAAGTCATGGGAATAAAAGGTACAACTCAAGAAATATAGTCAATGTACTGTAAACACGTTGTATGGTGACAGATGGTAGCTACACCTGCGGTGAGTAGAGCATACACACTTGTTGAATCACTAAGTTGTGCATCAACTATACTTCTTTCGACAAAATGAAAAGGCAAAAAAAAAAAAGTTTTGAGATTTGGTTCACCCTATTAACCTATCTTTCCTCCTTATGAGACAAATTAATATTACTTTTTTTTAATGTTACAGAATTTTTTTAAGCAAACTAATCCTATGTCATATAACAGTCAACTGAGTGGTGCCACTCAAATGCACTAAGGTTTAAAATAAAATGGTCATAACAAAAATAAATTTTAAGGTGTTCAGCAAGTCACTCAAACTTGAAAATGGCCATTCCATCAAAAATTTACTTGGGGGAAAAAAGTCAGTTTGCTTGAAAGGTAAATCAAAAGATCATTTACAAAGAAATATCCACTCCTTGACAGTATCTATTGGCCAAAAGACTGGGCCAGCCTGATTCCTTCTCCCTTTATCATAGCACTTTTCAATTTGACACAAACCATAAGCATCCAGAGTAATGCACAGCGTTACTCAATGAGAAATATGAAAAACAACTAACCCATGAGAAAGCTGAACAATTTATTCAGATTAATAGATGTACTCACCAGTATTGGCCCTGGGGATATACAATCAAATAAGGCATAAAATAAAACAAAAGCCAGTGAAGAACATGAAATAACACAAAGACATTATGAGTAAAATGTTATACATAATAATCAACCTACATTACTTACCATGCATTCCCAACACTAATTGTATACTCATAATATTCAAAATATTATGCCAAATACTAAGAATACAAAAAGTTCCCAATTTAAAGTTCCCATCCAATGAGAGAACCAAACCTATATGAAATTAAAGACAAACATGTGACCATAGACAATACAGAAAGATAAAGCTGGTCCTAAGATTAAAGAGGACTCAGGAAGTGGCTGGCATTTGAAATGGATTTTGAAACTGGGAGTTTGCCAAGTAGAGTGAGGACATCTTCAGGGAGAAGAAATACTATATACAAAAGACAGCATAAAAGTAGGTTGGTTTTGGGGCTCCTGACAGTGCTCAGTTGGTGGAGCATGCAACTCTTGATCTTGGGGTTGTAAATTTGAGCTCCACGCTTAATGTAGAGATTATTTAAAAATAAATTCTGAAAAAAAAAAAGTGGTTAGTTTTCTTTTAAAGATAATGGGAGACAAAAAGATGTGTGGTTCCGTATTCTCAAGCAGATGCATACCATACTGGGAGACAAAACGGACATATGAAACTTCTAGACAGTGTCAGAGTCTCAATAACTAAGCTGTAATCACTGCTATCAAAGTTCAGAAAAAATAGATCAAAATTGACCACCACAATTGTAGAAAAGTTTATGGATGACATAGGACACTTGCTGGATAAGATTACAAAATCTCAAAAGCAAGCAGAAAACTATAAGCAAAGAAACCAAAGTGATGGATGCCATATAAAAGACAGTGAGGGAGAACCAACACAAGCCAAAGACAAGTATGTAATCTAGGAACAATTGCCAACAGAAAGAACTTCCTTTCCTCTACCACTGCAACTGCTTGAAATTTCACCTCCCCTTCTTTCCCACACCACCTGGATCCCACTCCACAATAGAGCCCACCTGTCCACGGGTCACTTTGAGGCAGACAGATGGGTAAGGGAGGACTCTGACTACTTAAGAAATTTCTGCCAAATAATCTGCACCAGCTGGGAATCTCCTAGATATTCGGAGGAGGTACATTTGCCCCCCTTCCATTTAGAATCCCAGCACCAATGAAAACTCCAGAATAAATTCCTAAAAATGTTCTCCAGATCAATTTATTTAATCCAGCTGACTTATGCTATTTTTATCACCATTGGGGGAGGAGAGACATTCAAAATTGTATACGCAGGGTGACCACTGAAAAACACATATTTTTAAAATACAGTACTGTAAATGTGTTTTCTCTTAGGATTTTAACATTTCCTTTTGTCTATCATACTTTATTGTAAGCATACATATATATATATGTAACACATATATATGTATATAACACATATATATGTGTGTTATATACATATATAACATATATGTATATATATGTTACATATATAACACATACATAAAATATGTGTCAATCATGTTATCAGTAAGGCTCTGTAACATATATATACATATATAACATATATGTATATATATGTTACATATATAACACATACATAAAATATGTGTCAATCATGTTATCAGTAAGGCTCTGTAACATATATATACATATATAACATATATGTATATATATGTTACATATATAACACATACATAAAATATGTGTCAATCATGTTATCAGTAAGGCTCTGTTCAACAATAGACTATTAGTAGTTAAGTTCTTGGAGAGTTAAATTAACAATACGCTTTTAGTATTCTTTGGAGAATCAAAGTTGTACATGGATTTTCAACTATGGGGGGTGGATGGCATCATTCAAGGGTCAACTGTACTGTCTTTTCTCAGTCTAAAAAGGAACAAAAAAGAAAGGCAGGAGATATTAGAAGGGCTACTTTTCCAAGATAAAAAAAAAAAGCGTTTTAGCTTCAAAGACCAAATAATGGAAAACTGATGGCTACAGTAGTGTAGCAAATAGAGAAACGCTGCACTTGCAGGCAACAAACAGATGGGAAGGCAGTAGTGAACTCGGGGAAGCTACAGAGCTGAAAAAACTCAATGTAGCTTAAGAACAGATAGATGATGTATTCTGAAGACATTCTCCACGCTCTATGTCCTGGCTACCCACAATTCTTTATCTTGACTTCCTGTAAATTAGGTACCCACTTATTATGATGATTCCTTTACTCAAAAAGCTCTTGCGTATGACAAAAGGGAGAAAGGTTTAAACCTAGGGAAAAAGGGTTTATTCTGCTAGAAGAATATATGTTCCAGGCATATATTCCAGACATTTATGTCTTTATGAAAGACATAAAAACTTTCAATTTAGTTCAAGACAGAAATACTACAAATGGTTTTGGTTGTGAGCATTATGCTGCAGGAATTATGAATTAGATGAACAAGTGTTAGTGGCTTGCCTTGAAAACTCAACTAACGGGTGTTCTATCTGTCTAGGAAAATAAAATCACAGTTGAAAGCATACTGCTTACAAGTAAACTTAGATCAGGGTTAAGTAAGCTACGGTAGAGGAAATAGGGAAATCTTTGGTTAACAACGTAAAAATGGGGGGAAGGGAGGAAGGAGGCACACATTTAAAAGCCATGTCAGTGATTCCTTTTTCACAAGAGATAAATAAATACAACCCAGCCTGAATTCCAAAACTTTTTTTTTTTTTTAACTGTATCTTTCATCCCTTTCGCAAGTACACAGACTGTGATCTGGAAAAGTGATATGTAAAAGCCAAAAGCAGAAATTAACGTTAGTTTTCTCAAGATGATGTGGCTAATAGCCTCCCGTAAAAAGGTCCGGATATTTATCTTTCAGCGAGCCCCGGAACAACTAAGCGTCAGGAACATGAACTGACCAGCCAGACTGGAGCAAACCCGCCGTGCTCATTGCTGGAAACGCCTTCAACGTAGGCCTGAAAGAGCTGGGGTGGCCAAATAAAGCCTGGGGTTTATTTCCTCGACCTTTCGTTGCCCCACTGCCAACCAGCCAAAGAAGGGACAGACTCTCACCAGCAAATCAACACTTGTCTCTAGACGAAGGTGAGGCTTCTGTCGCTTGAAGACGCGCTTAAGAAAGCCCCGGGGAGCCTTCCGTTTTATCTTCTTTCTCTGGGAGACTGTGGTCGAGAGCGCCATTCTCTTCCTCCGGCACCAGCCGCTTTAGCTACCGAGATCCTCCAGGCACCGCACAGAAATTCACACCCGAGCGGACAGCAGGAACCACGCAGCCACAGGAACACTTCTTCGGTCCCGGAGACCCCAGCCCGGACGTTTGAATCCGCCGCCAAAGGAGTGCGCCTGGCGCTCGGCAGTGACGTCAGCTTGGCGCAAGCCCCGCCCCCGGAGGCGCCAGGGTGTTGGTAGAAAACACTCTCCACGATGGGGACCCCGTGATATCATTAAAGGGCCAGGCTTCCATTCTTCGATTTTTTTGTAATACCTGTGCTTTAGAACTATTTCTCCCGTGTTTCATAGAAGTGTTGAGAAATTGTGGGAAATGTTTGTATGCCAAGGCAATTACACTTACTGAGCCTAATACCAGTAGACTTAGAAGTAGATGAATAAATGTCTGTGATGTTTTATCAGGATTCCTGAAGAAACAATGCCTTCCTAGCAAGACATAATTTCCTGATATTAATAGCTAACAATTTACACATTTACATAATTTCACTTGAACTTATTTGAGGTCTTTTATGAGTCTAGCTTTTCTTTACAAATGCTGCTCCCTTTCATTTTAAGGCCCCTGCACTTAACCTTACAATAAATTCAGGTGTGATTTAACTGCTACCTCATTGAAATCCTTGCTATTTCTCCAAACAATTAACTTTTTTATCTTCTGTGCTACAGTACAAGTAGTCCCTAAACTTCATCGTGCATCAGATGAAGCACCATTCTCGGGGTTTCTGATTCAGTAGACCTGGATGGGACTTGAGAATTTGCATTTCTAACAAGTAGTCAGGCCTTGTTGGCACTGCTAGTCTGAGCACCGCACTGAGAACACTGTGATTTTCATTGTAATTACCTCTAATACTACACCTGTAGTAATTATTGTGGTTTCAGTATCCACACAGATGGCCTCCAATTTGCAAGACCTCCTCTCTGCCAATAATGGTGTCTTTCCCCCGATCATCCACTCACACCTGCAGTCATACTTTAGGCTATATCATTATCAAACACTATACCCTTCCATGTTCACAATTCAGTTGTCTCACTTTCACCCTCATCTATCTTTTCAATTCATTCCTGCCAGTATTCCAACTCCAACAATTCTTAGATGACACTGGGATAGTAGTCCCCTTTCTTTCTATCCCTACCAGGCCCAAACTCCACTGTATTCCTTATCCTCCGTCCTACAGTCCATTGTGAATTATTATATTCCTTTGCATTTCTCCTCAGCTCCGTAGCCATTCTTTTTCCCCTTATATTTACCCGACAAACCCCCAAAGCTGCTTAATTAAAATCTCAATCTATTCTGTGCTTGCATCTGTACATTGATATTAACTTAAGTAAAATACACAGACAGGTCTGTGTCTGGTCTTAATTTAAATTCGTGACCATTCAAGTGGGCTTTAACCATTGCCTGAAGTCTTTTGCTCTTTCCTAAGTCCTTTACTTCACCCATTCTTTTCCTCAAAGCTCCCTCACTCCTATCCCATCCTCACCCTCAACTGATGACATTGCTTCATTCACAAAACAGAACCATCCTATAGAGACTTTCCACATGCTCCCACCACCATATTTACCCATCAATCTCCACTTGCTCCCAGTGATGAACCATCTAAGATGACCACTCTACTTATGCCCTAGATCCCAGTCTCCTCCCTTTCTTAAGGATATTCTCTGGCAATTCTCTCTTCTTCTATTTCATAAATTTTCCTTCTTTGCTGAATTTTTTCCATCTGTACACACACATTCAGTAATATCTCTAGCCTTTTAAAAACTCTTTCTTTATCCTGTCTTTAGCTACTGTCCTTTCACAGAAAAACTAAAAAGTATTGGCTAAATTTGATGTCTCCAGTTCCCTTTCCTCCATTCTCTTTTGAAGCCACCACAATCAGAGTTTTGTACCTATCTCTCTACCAAAACTGTTTTGGGCAACATAATTAATAACACTTTAAAATTCAATGGTCAAAAAAATAAATAAATAAATAAAAGCAAGAATAAAATTCAATGGTCAATTCTGAAACTTCAGTTATTTGACTAAGAAGGAGTATTGGGTTTTATGATTGTTTCTTCCAGAAAACATTTTCTTTAATTTGATACTATTCTCTTTTGGTTTTCCTCCTACCATATGGCCCTTGATTCTCCATTTCTGGTTTCTCCTTATGTACTTTATCTCAAAATACTGAAGTACAGTGTTCAGTCCTCAAATTTCTTCTCTATCTACACTCTCCCTATGTGATCTTATCTGGTATTTTGACTTTAAATACCAAATTTACATCTCCCGCTAATTACCTTCCCTAATCAGACGTGTATATCCAGTTCTCCACTGGATTGGAATTTTAAGTCATCTAAATTTAATATATCCAAAATTATATATAATCTTGATGTACCCCTGTATCCTAAGTCTCCTTACACTAACTTACCTATTACAGCTGATGGCACTTTCATTTATCCAAGTACTAAAGCTAAAATCTTGGAATCATCCTTAACTCTCTCTTTTTCTCACCCCAAATTTGAGCCTTCATCAAATTTTATAAGCTCTATTTCCAGTATCTGATCACTTTTGGCCAAGTCACCATCATCACTCATTTGGATTCTCAGGCTCTCTGTTTTCCTCAAGAGAAGAGCCAGATTTAGCTCAAATTATGTCACTCTTCTCAAACACCTTCCATTTCCATCAAAATGAAACTTCCTACAATGACTTATGAGGTCTTGCCTACCTGCCAAGTACAAGTAAATACACTGACAAATGCACAATTAACTCTGACTTTATCTACCACAATTAAGCAACTCACTCTCCTCTAACTGTGTTAGCATTCTTGATAGCCTTCAGACACACCTGAAATCCATCAAATACACCAAACACTCCTCCCTCAGGTGTTTGCATTTACTATTCCCTCCGCCAAGGATACTTTTTCCTCATTTATCTGCAGAGGTATCTCCATCACTTCCTTCAAGTCTCTGTTCTGACAAGTATCAGAGAGTCCTCCTATTTAAAATAAAAACTCCAGGGGTGCCTGGGTGGCTCAATCAGTTGAATATCTGACCCTTGGTTTCATCTCAAGTCATGATCCCAAGGTCTTGGGATCAGGCTCCATGTTGGGCTCCAAGCTAAGCATACAGCCTACTTAAGATTCTCTCTCTCTCCCTCTGCCCCTCTCATCTGCATGGGGACTCTCTCTCTCTCTCTCTCTCTCTCTCTCACACACACACACACACAGAAAAAAAACAGAATCCCCCCACATGTAAACACATAAAAACCTAGACACATCTATATGCATATACACAAACACAAGTCCAACAGTGTACAAAAGCTGACTTAGCCTCCCAGAACTTTGTTCAATGACATGATGTTGGTAGCCAAAAGTATTTACACCATGTGAAGTGGCAAATGCACAAATCAGGGTTGTTGTTGAATTTTTTTTTTAATTTTTGTTTCTCTTGTTTTGGAAAGGAAGTTGTTAAATGTTTACCAACATAACACTGTACATATCCCTGCTGATCTGAAGATACTAACCCTGTCTATGCCTTATTTTTCTCAATAGCACTTTCAGTATCTAATATTTACTTCTGCATATAGGAAAAAGTTACAGTAGCTTTATTTATGATAGAAATAATTGGAGATAGTAAATATTCATTAAGAGGGGAATTGGAAATATCTATTGTCACATGTATTAGTTTCCTAGCATTACTGTAAAAAATTACCACAAATTTAACGCTTCAAACAATACAAACTTACCATCTTTCAGTATCAGTGCCTAAAATCAGTGTCAGAGTGCTTTCTTCCTTCAGGAGGCTGTACCAGGGGTCTGTTTCCTTGCCATTTCTAGCTTGTAGAAGCCATCTCTGTTCGTTGGCCAGAGGCCCCTTCCTCCACCTTTAAAATGCATCACTCTACCTTCTCCTTACCTTCTTTTTCAGACTTTGATCTGCGTGGCTCCTTCTAATAACCCTTGTTATCACAATGAGTCTACCCAGGTAATCCAGGATAATCATCTCATCTCAAGATCCTTAACTGTAATCACATCTGTAAAGTCTCTTTTGCCAAGTAAGATAACATTTTCAGATTCTGGAAATTAGGACATAGATATCTTTAGGGGGAGCGGAGGCATTATTCTGCCTTCTACATGATCTCTTCCTAGATGTGATTCTACAGTAGAACAGTTCAAAGAACTTTCTTCAGTGATGGATATGGTCTATATCTGCTCTGTCCAATACAGTAGCAGTATTGAGCATTTGAATATGGCTAGTGTGACTAACAATATCAATTTTATTTAAATATAATTTACATTTACATTTACTAGCCACATGTCACTAGTAGCTACCATATTGGGCAGTGCAGTTAGAGTAAAATAACAAGTGATTCTCTCTGACACTTTGGTAGGTGAGTGGAAGCCAAGAAACAGGATTCAAAAAGGATTTTCAATTTATCTGCATTTTTCATACTTTCTACTATGAAAACACTTTGTTTTTAAATTTTTACACATTTTTAGAATATTGAAGTAGAGTATAAGGGTAATAATTACATTTATCCCCGTAATAAAGCATGTCTCTACACATTATCTTATTAGATCTTAACAAAACTATGGTATTGGTAAGGCTTGTAGGGGTGTTATTATTTCAATTTTAGGATGAAATTAAATGGTCAGAGAGTTTGAGTGGTCCAAAGTAAAAATGATTATGTGGAAAATTTAAGTTATTAATTCTGGTGTTTTGATTTTCCGATATGTTACACTATCTATAAGTGTAAGAGAAGAATCTAAATTCTGCTCACTTGATTTCCTTTAAGAAACTTTATTTTTTATAGACTTTCATCTTTATTTAATAAAGAATCACAAAGTAAAACATTGAAAAATTTCATTACCACCTAAATTTTTAAAATGTTCTTTTCTTTTAAGGTTTTTCAGTAATTAAGTTTCTTTGATTTGAAGGGTGGAAAACCATAAGGGAACTCTTAGAACCCTAACCCACACAGCTAGACTCTTCCACCCAAACCGAAAGTGTCTTGAGTGATGACAGCCCTAAGTCCAAATTCAGGGAAAGTAAAAGGGAATTTAGATAGAAAGACTAAGATCTGGACAGGAGTGGCATTGATGTCAGAAGGATAGATACATACCCTTCTTTATCCCAAC